GGTCCCAGTTTACTACTTAATATATGCCAATGAAGCAAGCCAATTTTTTTATCTTTGTGCCCTCCTCCGCAAAATCCTGGATCCTCCAGTGTTTTTTGTGTGCATTCTTAACAAAGTTCTGTAGGGTGCACAATTAGCATAAGCCCTATCAGCTGCATAACCGATATCAGATTTAAATATAAATTAAATGTAAATATTTATAGAAATATATCTTATTAATTGTGACCAGAGAGGTTAGCATGTGCAAAGGAACATTTATTTAAATTAAGAATTATTAATGCTATGACATTGAAAAATTTTGACGTTCTGGAGCACACTCAAGCTGTGCCACATCATTTCACTCAACACATTTTTCATTTACCCTTTAGCGGCTAGTGCCTCAGACACAATATTAATCCATAAAATACACAGATCTGTTCTGTAAATCATTCAGTAGAGAATATCATGGCAAATCATAACTGCAGTTCAAACACTACAGCTCTGTAGATTCTACTATGGTTTTTTCATGTCTTCTTACCAGTCCATCAGCTCCAACTCTTCCTCTGCCCGATATCCTGAAGGTTGCCTCAACCTCCCAATGCTCATGGGGGTTGGTATTCTTAGACCACACCCACCCTATACAAACAACACAGAAAAAAAGGTTATCCAGGTGTACAGATTAAATAACAGGTACATTAGTGCCACATGGGTATTGATTTCCAATATGTGAACAGTTGTTTAGAGCAGTTCATTAGTTGTTCTCATTCAAACGATGGGCTGGCTATTTGATTGTACAGCCTGATTGCTAACAACCAGATAAAGACGCACAGTTTTACAGGCCTGGGCCTTTCTGTGGTAAACCTGTTTAAGGAGAGAGCCTTTTTAGACTAAAAAATCAATAATATCACTCATCTGTTTCTCTTTTTTTTCTGTAATCTTTTGTTCTTCGACAAGGAAATTTTGCACTTAATTAATCAGCATCCTTCCTACCACTTTTATTGTTAAGGACTGATAGAAAAATTAAATAAAAATCTCATATACTAAAAGACTACTTTTTATAAAAGATCTTATAAACTTGTCTACTGATATCAAGATGATTTCCTCCATGTCATCAGAGTCTACAGTAATAAAGTGTACAGTATGCTGATAGACGTAATACTTTACCTTTTTGACTTCGAAGAGATGGAGTTACTCTTATAGACTGGTCACTAGCAATTGCATCTAAAATTTTAAAAAAGAACCAGCTTTGCATAAGTTTTTATTTTTAAACAATGTTAGATACTAAAATTATTATACTTTAAAGGCCAAAAAAGGCACATACGGAACCTGAGAAGTTAGTGATAATTGGCTATTTGAAAATTATTTAAGTGTAAGTAAAACCCAATACAAACCATAATACAGAATTGGGATTTAAAATAGAAGTACAGCTATGCATTTCTTCATAAGAAAAACATTTTTTTCAGCCTGAAAACTGTAACACAGTAGTTTTGAGATCACACAAGCTAGGGGACTGTTGACAGATGTACAGTCAAAATTTCAAAAATGTTCTGAGCAAAAAATGAATCTGGACATTGCACTTTAGGTAAATGCATATCATGAAGTTTACATTGGACCTTTAGAAAAAAGCTATAAAAATTTTAATGATAATACCCCCCCCCCTTCCTGTGTCTAAATGTACATTCAAGGAAATGAAAATATCGAAATAAATAATATTCTTTGGACTTTGATTATACTTATCACAGCTTTACCTCTTCTATATAATAAATCGAAGATTTATAAATGCACCACAGCAATAAAAAGAAATTACAATATACTGTACTGCCAGCTAACTAAGCCTAGTTATACCACAGGCATTTTGTTCAGCTAGCTCAGCACCTACTATCACAAATCCCATTTTTAACTTAAAGTTCAAGATTAATTGCAAAAACTGACCAGCAAACACACATAGAGACGGGACGAACATTTGTCTCGAATAAAACGTTACACAAGAGGTCAAATTCTGTCGTGAAAACAAGCAACATCACTATCCACGTATGCAACTGATTAACATCTAACATATGCCATAGGGTCCAGCCGGCCTTTAGCTCAAAATACTTACTTCCACCGTGCGTCCAAAAAGGAATTGACCCATCACTCTGTATAAGATGCGGCCCCTTTAAACTGAGCTTATATTCAAATTTTTTACGTGGTAGTTCTGCAGTTACCGAATAAACAGCGAATATGAGAGTGCAGCCGGCCAAAACAACATCCATGCCCACAGCCATCTTAGAGTGTTGTACCACGTGTCATCTGACAGCGGAAGTGCCCTGTAACACCTTTGTAACTGGCTTGCAGTTATCTTACAAAATATGCGACAATTAGCACTGTAGGTTTTCAATGTTTGTTAAAGAAATCCTGGAATTTGGTATTTAGTCTATCGTATTAGATAAGTAAATGCGTCGGTTCTGTACAGACTGCGGTAAATTAGGTCAAACTGACATTCACCTGGCTTTATCTTATTGGTTGAAATTTAACGGATATGGGTCAAAGGCACCTGTTCACGAGACAAGCAGACGAACTACGAATCGTTTTTATTTATTGCTCTGCGCATCTTTGAAGTAAAATTTCTAATTCCATAATAGACTGAAATCTTCACTTGCATCAAAATCCTATGTTTAATATTAATCTCAATGCATAAATAGGTCTATATAGAAAATATAGAGGTCATAATTAGTGACGGATTGAATTTATCAATTATTATTATTATTATTATTAT